TTGAGGCCTCATTAAAAAGCCTTTATTACCTTCACAAGCCATGGTATGCTACATTATCTAGTACCAAACGCTGAAAATACTACAGATCTCAGACTCCATCTGACCTGATACAAGAACTAAGATTATTCCAGGGACTTCATAGGACAGGGTCTAACCTCTGTGCCTTTCTAAAACATTTGTAGGCTTGTATTTTTCCTAAGAAAATTCCACCAGCACAAGCTGAAAACGATGACGTGCACCAACTGCCAACCACCGGCCTTCTTGTTCACTTATGCATTTGACAAATTCAAGGATTCATAACGGTTTCCCATCAGTAATTTACAGGTTCCTGCATCACACCTTTTCTAGGCAGCCTGGTTATAAACCAGTAACACTTGGGGATACTACGGCTATCATCTCAATAACCTCATTATGGACAATCATACTTCTAGATCCTAAAAGCTACTGTTCAGAGGTGCACCGGGGTGGGAGAGGCTGATTTGCTCAAGGTGAAGAACTCTTGGTCACCTCCAGCCATGATCTACTCATGAATGAATCCCTGCAGACATTCACGGTAGGATGTGACCAGGCGTCAGGATGATCACCTGTATTCTTTTGCTCAGGGCACTATGGCAAAAAATCTCACAGTAAATAAACCTACCACAGCTTTAGGGACTCATTTTGAAAGCTTCCAGAGCTGAAAGAAGCGGCAGACACTGCAGAAGAACTGACATTTTCAGAAACACATATATATACACACACACAAGAAATCCTATTTCTAGCTTTGGAGTGAGTATATTCACCTTATCTCCAGCGGCTGTCAGGTTAATGCAGCTTCGGGTGGTAATCTTTCTGTGGCAGCGCAATTTCACCAGGGTGCATAAATAAAAATTTTTATATTTATCTCACTGTTTTAATCCTGGTTCCCCACAAAATTTAGACAAATGGAAGAAAAAGGCAATGTGGATAGAGCATGCATACGTGTCTGTAAGCACACCAGCCTGCTGGGGGGAGAGGCTGTTAGCACACCACTTTTAAAACACTGCAACTTACTGAACTCATAAAGAGGTGCTGAGAGCAAGTCAGATGGTCAATAACATGAGGTAAACGTAATATTAAGTACAAATATCAATTTATGCTAAAGTTAATGACAGACTGAGGACAGCTGTTTCATAGGCTCCTATGAGAAATATTATATAAAGGCTCTCTTCCACAACTTCATTTTTTCTAACGTAGAAATAGAGTACTCTTCAGGACCTTACAGGGAAAAGATACTCCTTTCCTTTAAAATAGCATTACTATCTCAGAGAAATGTTAGAAAATCCATATACTGCAATATTACTTGGCTCAAATATGGCTTTTCATCCCTAGAACTCAGAAGTGTTCTACAAAGAAAGTCAATATCATCAACTGCATTTTCCAAACTGGAGCAGAGAAAGAAAAAAAATGGCATGTGTGAAGGTTACCCAGCAGGCCAGCAGCGCAGTGGGAATAGGAGGCTGAGACGTGAGAAAAACGGTGTATCTAATACGACCAAATTCTAAAAATACAGAACATGGG